ATTGGCAAGCAAGAGCTGAGTGACCTACATAAATTTGTGGTGGAGACACAAAACCAACTAGAGATGTGTTTACCTCCTACTTTTTTATATAATGCCACATCTCATGATTCATATGGTTCATCAGATACAAGCACTAGACCCTTGCTACTTGCATGAAATGAGGTCCTACGAGCGGTTCATGTCGGTTCTAAGTCGATACGTGCATAATCGAGCATACCCAAAGGGCTCCATGATAGAGGGTTACTGTACTGAAGAAGTCATCGAGTGCTGTCAAGAGTACCTAAAAGTACAGAAAGGGATTGGTAAACCCGATTCTCGTCACAAGGGTAGGATGGCTGGGAAGGGCACCAGTGGTAGAAAAGTGTTCATCAACCATGATTACAAAGAGGTGAGTCGGGCGCATTACAGTGTCTTGCAGAGTACACAACTGATGCAACCGTACATTGATGAACACTTGGCTATCATTATGGCGGAGAGAAATGGTCGTTCGAATGATTGGGTCATGAAACAGCACAAGCAACGACTAACTACATGGTTGAAGGACCAAAACATACCGCCTGGAGAAACCATGGACTCTATTACCATCAGTAGGTTAGCAGAGGGGCCATCGAGACAAGTGATATCTTGGAATGCTTATGACATCAATGGGTATACGTACTATACCCACGCAAAGGATAGTAAATATGTGAACCAAAATAGCGGCGTTCGAATAGAGGCTCTCGATGGATTGGGGAGAAAGATCCAATACTTTGGCATCATTGAAGAGATATGGAAACTTGACTATGGAAGGGATATAACGGTGGTCCTATTTCGATGCTGCTGGATCAAACAACACCAACTGAACGAGATCGGATTAAGAGTCCTGGACCTCGAGAATCTAGGCTACCAAGATGACCCTTGGGTGCTCGCTTCATATGTCGCACAAGTTTTCTATATGTCTAACCCATAAAGTAACCTTCCCCCGAAGAAGAAGACAAAGCACGTGGTTGCCTCTGAGAAACAACACATTATCGGAGTTGATGGCGTGGACAATGTTGAAGCTTACAGTAACTATGATGAGATGCTGCTATTCACAGACTTTCCTAAGAAGATCAGTATTGTGGAAAAGAACCTACCTAAAGACATATTGCCATGGGAACAAAAAGGTGTCAAGGGGAAAGTCGTTACAGCGGGCTAGCTAGTTGTTGAACGTGGAGTGTTTCTGTAAGTGTGTGTTTATAAGACTTCATTTATGCATGCGTGTGAGACTATATATTTATGTATGCATGTAAGACTATATATTTATGTATGTGTGTGAGACTACATTTACGCATGTGTGTGAGACCACCCTTTGCAACATCCAGATGAATCTATTTCAACATCCACTCTATTACTACTAAAACTTTATGAAATCACTTAACACTTTATGAAATGAAGAAATCGCCAAAATAAAAGTAGGAGATCTTGACAAGTTATACAACTTTTATATTCATCACCTTTACAGCTGAAATCATTTAGTGGTTGAAAATCAGGTTTGAAGCTGTTATTTTTTGAAATTCAAAATTTGAACTGTTCAAATTTTGTCAAATAAAAAGATGACCAAAATAAAAGTTGTAGATAGTGACGTGTTCAACAACTTTTATATTCATCACCATTACAGCTGAAATCATTTATTAGTTGAAAATCAGGTTTAAAGTTGTTATTTTCTGAAATTCAAAATTTAAATTGTTTAAAATTAGTGACAAAGATAGATGACTAGACTAAAATGATAGAGTATGATTTTAGAAAATTTTAGGAAAAAAACCATCACATTTGGATTTAGTATGAGGGAGAAAAACTAGTTACAAGTTTCAGCCACAGATTAAAAAGAGAAATCACACTTATTCATCATTGATCATCATAAACAGTTGTGATTTTTCTTTTTAATCTCCGGATAAAATTTATAACTAGTCTTTCTCCCTCGTACTAACTCCAAATGTGATGATTTTTTCCTAAAATTTTCTAAAATCATGCCCTATCAAGTTACTGTGTTGATTTGGTCATTCTTTTCATTTCATAAAGTTTGAGCAATTGAAATTTTCAAATTTAAAAAAACGACAAGTTCTAACGAGATTTTCAACCATTAAACGATTTCAGCTGAAAAAGTGATGAATACCAAAGTTGTATAACTCATCAAGATCTACAACTTTTATTTTGATCATTTCTTCATCTGACAAAGTGATAGTAAACATTGTTCACAAATAAACATGTTTCTCGTATAGTTCATGAAACTATGAGTCATATGTGAATTTGTGAACAATGTTTACTAATAATTTGTCATATGAAGAAGTGACCAAAATAAAAAGTTGTAGATAGTGATGAGTTCAACAACTTTTATGTTTACGACTTTTATTGTTGAAATCATTTAAGGTTTTAAAATCTTGTTTAAAGTTGTCATTTATTGAAATTCAAAATTTCAACTGTCAAATTTGGTCAAATGAAAAGATGATCAAGATAAAAGTTATATATATTGATGAGTTCTACAACTTTGGTATTCATGAGTTTTTTAGCTGAAATCATTTACTCTTTCAAAATATTGTTTCAAGTTCAAATTGTTTGAATTTCAAATTTTGAATCGTTCAAACAAAGTCACATGACAAGATAACCAAAATAAAAGTTGTACATGTTGATGAGTTATACAACTTTTATGTTTACAACATTTTCATTTTCGGTCATTTAATGTCCTAAAATTGTAATCCAAGTTTTAAAATTCAAATTTTTAATTTTTGTTTTTTTGTTTTCTATATTGTTTTGACTACAATTGTTTATATATATATTTGTGCATATATAGAATAATACAAAATATTATATTTGTGCATATATACAATTTTTTTATCTTACTTTGTGTTTTTGTGATATAAAAATACAAAATTAATAATTTAATAAAATAGAAAATATTTGTAGGGGTGGCTAGATCAGGAACCGCCCCTACAAATGCATGTGTAGGGGCGGCTGGATCAGGAACTGCCCCTACAAATAGTCATAGGTATATAACCACGAGCGCTCGGGTCAACAAGTGTTGGGCGCTCTCTTCTTCCTCCCGACGCCGTCAGGCTGCCCAACTGTTTCCCCGATGCCCCCGCTGCTCCCGCTAGGGTTTTAGAGCCCGAGCGCCTCGCTCCGCACTGCCAGCCCCACTGCCCTCCCCCACCTGGACTCAATCTCACTCTCCACCGTCGAGGTCAAGGCCGGCGGATCGACGGCGGCTCCCTTGCCCCAACCCCAGTGGCCCCACAACCCCAGCCCTGGCGCCCCCGCTGCTCCCAGCTCGACCGCTCCATCGCCGCTAGAGACCACTCCGCGCCTGCATCAGCACCTCGCCACGTCGAACACCGCCGGAGACCCCGTCGCGCCACGACTGCCCCCTCCCTTGCCGAACCGCTGCCGCAAGAGAGCGTCGCCGCCCAGGGCAATAGGACGACATCAAAGCACCACGACTGCCCCAGCCATCGACCGCCGACTAACCCTCCGCACCTTCGCGTGCTCGCCAACGCCGCATAGACCGGCGACGTTGCCGCCCTAGTGGCGGCCCTCGGTACTGGTTTGATCCATCCCATCCTTTTGCAATCCTTGTTTATTGGTTGATTTTTGATGGTCGAATAGATTGCGCCTTCTAGATTCGAACTACCCCGTCTGTGAATTGTATTGAATTTCACATGTCAGTTGCTACTTTCTATGGTATTGCTGCAAATATGGTGCTATTTCTATTCGAACATCTAGCTTAGTGGCTTAGTGGAGTATGAACGTATATCCCTGTAGAGATGTGAATGCGGCTTGTGTGTGCAAATTAATCCATGTGGCTATGTGTGCAAATTAATCCATGGATATAGAAACACTAGATGCTGCAATAGAGGAACCGCCATTTTGTTTTTTTTTCTATTCAGTAGCCTATATACAGTCGTGTAACAGCATCTTGCTCATTCAGTTATTCACCCTGCTTTGCAATGCTTTTTATAGATGTATAGTCCTGCATGAATTAATTAATTACTAGTAGGAAACTTCATTCTCCTGCTGGAAGCCGGGAAGGAATCAGCTGGCCTGGCTGTTGTTTTCCTGAACCCAGTCATTTCTCAGTGAAAGAATGATTCAGAAATGTAGTTAAATGCTTGAAGAAGTTAGGAATTTTTTAATTATGATGAATTAATGGTTAGTAGTTTCTTATATAGGGCAATGCTTATCAGTCCTACATTAGTTCCTTCCAAAAGCAGCTTAAAATTCTTCCTGTGCTTAAAAGTCTTTGAAGGCTTCATCCATGCTATCTCATTTATATAGGAATAGGATATATTGCAAAGTTGACCTTGATGTGCTATGCATACATTTTTGGTGCTCGGGCTCTGCTACCTTGATTACTTTGCTTCCACTAGTGCAGTTCTGTACATGTCTCTAGCACACTTGTGGTATTCAATCAATTAGTGGATTACCTGGAATTTAATCACAAACATATCCAAGGGGCTAGTGGTCTGTACTTGTATGACACATGGTCAGTTTGTTGGTTTCCAGGTCTCTGTCATGATGCATCTATAGGACTATAGGACCCACAAAGACTTTTTTTTCCCCCAAACATAGGTGCTCAATCATGATGCATCTATAGGACTATAGGACCTTGCTAACCACTGGTCCTTTAGCTAAATGCTGCTACTATTTTTTATTGAGATCTGTTACACGACTGTTTTAGTAATGGATTTACCTAATAGCAATCCATCTGTTAAGGCTTGGTTAGACAAAGTTTTACCTATGCTATCAGTACTCACCTTGAGTTGCTGGACAATGAATAGCTCATCACCAGAATTTTCAGTAAATAAGGTCCTCAAAGTTTGTAGAGTATGCATGCAATTTCTTTGCAATAACTGATATTGTAGAGCGGTGTATTGTGCATAACTGGAGGCCTCTCCGTGACGTACAGAGCTCCAGAGACATGCTTTGTGAGTTCTTTGTCAGTTTGTCTTATGGCTTCATGTGTTCAGCTACTTGGTGTGTAAGACATGACCTACAGACTTGTTTTTGAAAGGTCTGCAGCCTTGCTAATATTGGCCACTACTTAAGTTACAGAATAATTTGCAAATAGTAATCCTTGGCTGGTTTATTCTCTTGGTTCCAATATGAGTTCAGATAATTTTGTTATAGGCATGATCGGATAGTTCTACACTAGGATCATGTGGTATAAGTAATTGCTCTATGGTTGACGAGAATAACAAATGCAAACAAGTTAAACCTAAAGGGTATGGTGATGACGGTTCAGGTTGTCGGTCAGTTCAAAATTAGTGTCATGTTCATATCATTTAGGAGAAAATGTTTGGACGACAGTGATTTTTAAAAAATATATCCTCATGACCTGTATATTGCTATGGGCAACAAAAATCATTAAGAGCACATGGTGATTTTGAAATCTTCCATTTGTCGCAGCAAGATGACAACTCTCACATGTATTTCATCATCGGTCTTTTATTTCAGTTGCTCCACCATCTCTCCAGTTACCTAAAACAAATTGTCAATGTCATCATTAATGCAAGTGATGAGGACCGGACACTGCACTTGGAAACTCTCAACCCACAGTCCAAGCAGTTCCACAAGTTGATCGTCAGGGGCTGCTGGGCTGCCGGAACACTGCAGTGCCCAATATTTCAAGGCCATGGGAAAAACCTCAAGTATCTAGCTCTAAGCTGGTGTGGTCTTCAGGAAGACCCGCTACTGCTTATTGCTCCACATGTACCAAACCTCACCTATCTGAGTCTTAACAGGGTGAGCAGCACAGAGACAATGGTTATTTCTGAAGGGTCCTTTCCACAGCTAAAGACACTAATACTGAAGAACATGCTCAATGTCAAGCAGTTGACAGTTGGGAAGGATGCTCTTCCAAATATTGAAGGTTTATATATTGTGGCGCTGCCGAAACTGAATAAGGTTCCTCAAGGATTTGAATCCCTTGTGTCTTTAAGGAAGCTGTGGTTACTGTCTCTGCATAAGGATTTCAAAATCCTGTGGGAGCTAAGTAGAATGCGCCAGAAGATGCCAGAAGTGGTGGAGGTTCGCGTCGAGTGATCGCCTGCTTCTTCATACCGCAATACTTCTGATTATTTATGCATATAGTCCTTTGTGTTTGATTCTTCCAGTAGATCTGCAATTCTGAATGCTTTTGTGCTTGTGTTTTTACTTTCAATAAGTCCGGAAGAAACAGATCTCCTCACCAAGAATGTGCCTGATAGTTGTGTGTATGCCATGTTATTGTGATTTCTTTGTAGTTTGATTTTCCTTTTTTATGTACGAACCTTGTCATTGAACTGGATTTGACAATAACGTATTTTCTGTCACCATCTTGCTGCCATGTTCAGTTCTGAAGTAACAAGGTCTCATGATTTTTATTTCCCATATGACATTTGACTATCTTAGGCAAGCCAGATTTCTTCATAGTGAACGGGTGACGATTCAAGAACAGACCTATCATTGGGGTTCTCATAATAAGGCTTGTTTCTCCGAGGCCACTGGGCTGTAGTGCCCAAGATTTCATGGCCTTGGGAAACATCTCAAATACGGGCTTGGTACCACCCGGACGCCTGTGCGCAGTCCTTTTCTCACATAGTTTCGCGTGCCCACATGAGGCCCGCGCCGCCCCAAACCTCACCAGCATCGATAAGAGAGGGAGAAGGCGGCAGAGGAGGAGACATCGAGGCGAGGCAGCAGAAGACGAGGAGGGATATGCAACACCCGATCTACTTTTAAAACATTCACATGCAACATACGTTTGAAGCCAGATAAAATACTTAAAACATGCATCTGAAACACTTGCAAAAACACATGAAAAACAATTGAAACCATTGCAAAAACATAAGCAACATCTAGATAAAACACTTATAAAACATATTTCAAAAACATATGCAACATCCAGACAAACACACTTACAACATACGTCAAAAAAACAGATGAAACATTTAGAATAAAAGCTTGCAACATATGGGCACAACCATTGCAACATATGTAATATTTCGATCTACTTTTGCAATAGAGCACCTGAGTAGAATTCAGCAGGCCTGGGTTCGACTCCCCGTGGGAGCCAATTAAACAAGTCTAGAATAAAAAAAATATAAAAAAATAGGTTGGGGTTTGTCCTACTGACTTCGGTCGAAACATAATATCTGAAACACTTGAAACAGACTTGCAGCAGCGCTTTCAAGATGCTACGGACTGGTGCAGAGGTCGCCGGTGTAGACCTCGGCGGCGGCACGGACATCAGCAGGGACCGCGGGAGACGCGAGTCCAGGGGCGGCACGAGGGCGAGGGCAGGTCCGTCCCGCGAGCAGGGCGCACAGCGCGCAGAGCAAGTGGCAACCCACTCCGACTGCTTGTGCCACACGTGCCAAACCTCACCTTCCTATCCTAAACAAAGTCAGCAGTGCAGACTCACAACCTTCACACTTGCACGGTATCTCCCTGTTTATCTTTTTATATATATTGGTCATGTTCGTTTCTCTTATAATTCGTTTTTTTAGCTTATTTTTTCAGCCGGAACATTATTTTTCCCTCACAACAAATCAGCCAGAACAGTGTTTCGGCTGATTTTTCAATGAAGCGAACGGGGCCATCATTATTTTGTCCTTTTATATATATTAATATTTTATAATCTTGTATTAAATATTCTGGCTACTTGATGAACTCAAATGAAAATAATTTTAACTACAAAGTTTTAAATCTTATCAAACATTATAACTTTGGTATAAGATGTGCATCCATACGAGATTGTTTGAAAATTTCAAAAATTAATCTCAAAACTATAAATATAAAATGTATATTTAAGACTCTAAAAGACTTGAATAAAATACTTATCTACAACAAACTTGTAGATTGGGTCCGCCCAATTAACAATGTGAACATTCAAGGTGGTTTCATAATTCTAAATTTTGAATTTCAAAATCTAAAAACATAAAACACATATTTGAGACTCTAAACAGCTTCAAATAAAAACCTTTTCAACTAGTAAATTGTATATTGTATTGACAAAATGACAATACATCTTTAGTGTAGAGCATGTCAACATCAGAGATTATTTGAAAATTTTAAATTTCAAATATCAAAATCCATGGACTTAAAACAATATTTTGGGAAACTATAAAGTTTCAAATCAAAATCTTCTCAAATTCAAACTTGTAGGTTGTGTCAAGAGTTACAACTTTTTTGATATATCTTCATTTGATTTCATATGAAAAAGTTATAGTTTATTCTTGATGCAACTATTTGAGAGATGAATCTCTTAAGACCTGTTAATAAAGATTTTTAGAATGGACATCTTAAAGATACCCACCTCTTTTAACCAATTTACAAAGGTGGACGACCTAAAGCAACCGTCTTATTGTAAATTGCTAATGATTAACAGAGGCAAATGCCTTAGGATGCTCACCTTTATAAATGATTAACAGAGACAGATGTTTGCCTGGAGGCCGCTTGACCATTTATAGGGGCAGTCCCTAGATATGCCCGCATTTGTTAATCGGAGAGGTCTTCTAAAATCATTTTGCTAGTAGTGAAGATTTGTTGTAACAAACCAAGCAATAGTTAGTTATGATTGACAAATTCAGCCACAAATATCAAATCATTTACTACGGGTGTTTTGGATCTATTAGTCCCTACCCTATTTGGATGGAGTGGCTAATGGCCACACAAAGACCAAATTGCCCCTAATTCACACAATGTTCTCGAGGGAGTCCAACTCCTCCTTCGCCGCCGCTGGACCTGGAGCGTGGGCCCGCTCTTGCCCATGGCAACGCATCGACCTCCGCGGTGCCGGGGAACACTGGGAGGGGAGCCCCACACACGCTTGTTGTAGCCCGCATCGCCGAGGGCAGCCACGCTGCGCGCACACGAGCAGGACGATGCGCCCTGGCCCGCGAGTGCATTAATGAGGGGTAGGGGTGTCTTTTTTGCTGGTTTAGTCCCTTTTAGGCCCCGTTCGCGTGCCCTTAAACTCGGCTTGACCCGCTTATTTTTTCATCCAGAACAGTGTTTTTCTCTCACAGATTTCTCCAAACCATCCAGATTCCTTCAGAATTCAGACAAGCGAACAGGTCCACCCCAAAAGATTAATGGACTAATTGGTTTAGTCACACTGTTTGGATCTTTAGGGGCTAAAAGTGACTAAATGGGGTCACCCCATCCAAACAGGCCCTACGTATCCGTACATGGCAAATGTATGTTTGTCATATAATGTAGTTCCCCTAGAGATATATATTAAATCAGAGCTTATTTGATGCCATATGAAGTAGTCTTACTAGATTTTTATTGTTACCATGAAGTTAGGCATGATGTTAGCGATACGTTAATTTCCTTGGCATTAGTGGTGCAAGTATGTGTTCGACGGTAGCATGACGCCTATACTGAAAGAAACTAGGTAGTAATAGTACTTGCAAGACTGCTTATATAGTTATAATTTTAGATGTGTCATGTCTGGTAAATTTGGCTAACACATGCGCGAGCTATTGCACACAAGCTCATAACATGATATTTATTAAGATTTCCCCAAGGATTTTGTCGAAATGGCTGAGGCGCGAGGGCTAGTTCTTCTTTACTTTTTGTTTTTCGGGTGAGTGAAGCTATTTTGTAACTAGATGATCTTGAGCAACAAAAGCTTGTGAACGCTCCACTTGAGAAATGCAGTTTATTCCTCTTTGACTTAGCTTTTTACTCGATCTGACCTATTTATCACCTGTATTTTGACATTTAAGGGGGGTGTTTGGTTGCACGGACTAAATTTTAGTCCATGTCACATTGGACGTTCGGATGCTATTTAGGAGAACTAAATATGAGTTAATTATAAAACTAATTACACAGATGGAGACTAATTTACGAGACAAATTTATTAAGCCTAATTAATACGTCATTAGCATATATTTACTGTAGTAGCACATTGTCAAATCATGGACTAATTAGGCTTAAAAAATTCGTCTCACAAATTAGTCACAATCTGTGCAATTAGTTATTTTTTTCGTCTATATTTAATACTCCATGCATGTGTCCAAACATCCGATGGGACAGGGACTAAAATTTTCCTGTAGGAACCAAACAACCCTTAAGGCTCTGTTCGCTTGAGCTCATCAGCCAGAATCAGCGAGTCAAAAAACATTATTTTTCTCTCATAACAAATCAGCCATATAAATAAGTCAGAGCCAAAATAAGTTCTGCCGAACAGAGCCTAAGCACATTTCCGATAGCCATGTTAGTTTGAGAGAGTGACCATGGTTCGAAACTGTGTCCAATACAGTCACGGTCTGAAACTGTCCAGAACGAACACGGAAGTGTGCATAGTTGTTTGTTTCCCATTCGAAAAGGGTCACCAAGTCAGTGTCGCTGAGTTCCATAATTGAATCGTCAGCTTTTGACTAAGGCCTGGTTTGGTAGGGCTTCTTCATCGACTTCAGGAGTTATTTGGAGTTGTTTTCTGTCAAACAGGATAAAATAAAATAGTTTCTTTGGAATGCCCTAAAAACATACTCTCACGTAGCTTTGAAGTGGGATGAAGAAAAAAAATGATGGTTTCACCTAACTTTACTAGTGAACTAGAGCCTCGCCAAACGGTGCCTAGTTAAGCACCACAAAAGTGGATTCGGTTAAGTTCTCATCAGAGTTATGTCAAGTCAAGATGCGTAGGCCACATCCGTGTGTGAACGGCACTAGCGTAGCTGCCATAGAGAATCTTTTCCTCGATCATTGGTGGGGCTCCCACTTTCCTCGTTCCAGCGGCTGCATCGAATTAAGGCCCCGTCTAGTTTTCAAAAAAAAAAAATTTGCCTCCTACAGAAAAAAAAAGAAGTATGTTTGACACATATATGGAGTACTAAATGTAGAAAAAAAAAACTAATTGCACAGTTCTCGGCAATGTGCTATAGTAACCCACATGTGCTAATGACCGATTAATTAGTATCATTAGATTCCTCTCGCACTTTCCTGATGGGTTCTGTAATTTGTTTTTTTTATTATTATCCATGTAACACCCGGTTTCAAGGACAAAGCCGAATGCACACCATATGTGAGCCCTAGAAATCAAATCTCACATA